CTGTATATAATATGTTTAAATTATATATATAATTTTAACATATATATATATTATATATTATATATATATAATTATTTAAACGTAACAGAAGATATATATGCGTGTGTGTGTTTGTAACAACAAACAGTAAAATACATCTTGAAAACTGTTGTGGTGTTATAAATAAATACATTTACATACAATACAGAATATATGACAATTGTATGTATAAAATATAAACTTTGACAAGAGGAAACACCAGTGGTTGATGAAACTAAAGATAATTCCTATTTGAATCATTACCTTAAATCTCCAAGCTTACTACCAGGGTTCGACAGGCCACAAATACATGACATATATCATAGCACTGTGCTCCATTTCTCAACTATTGTACATTCCCCTCAATTCGCTAAACACTTATGAATAATGCATAAGCCACAGTTGAAAAATGTAGCTCATAAATATGCATAGTGAACCTCGCTGATGTGACCGCTAAGAAGTGACTACCGAATCTAGTAATGTTAGTAATGTTGTTATTATTATTATTATTATTATCATCATCATCATCATCATCGTCATCGTCGTCGTCATCATCATCATCATCATCATCATCATCATCATCATCATCATCATCATCATCATTATTATTATTATTATTATTATTATTATTATTATTATTATTATTATTATTATTATTATTATTATTATTATTATTTCTTTAAGCACACAACACATGTGCCAAGGGATTGCCAATAGCGAATATATATCACTGTCCTACTTGATATACCGGACTAGACTCTTAAATTGCCATATTTCTCAGGGGCTTCGTCTCCTGGACCACATTCGAAATACTTTTTGTTTACTGTGTTAGGTGTGCAGTGAACCGTTCAGTGAGCAGATGATGGAAAGTTCAATTATTTAGGTAAATAAACCACCATCCAATTAAATTTAAACTAAGAAGCAATTATTCATTTTATTATTAGTATTACTTTAAGTTAAAATTGTTATTTTTTATTTATTCGCATATATTTATGTACATGTGTATATGAATATATATTTATGAGTTCATGTATGTATTTGTTTGTGTAAGTATATATGTGTATGTGAATGTATGTGTGTGTATATATGTGTATATATATGGACCCTTGTGTGTATGTATGTGTGTGTGTGTGTATATATATATATGTATATATATGTGTGTATATGCACATGTATATGTATATGTGAGTATGTATATTTGTATGTATATGTATATATATATATATATGTATGTATATGTATGTATATAATTTATATGAGTGTAATTGTATGCGTATTTATTTATTGAACTCATTTATTTAATTACTGTACATGTTTTTTAATTTTGCGTATACATTTTTATCTTTTAACGGGAGTGAGGGTGGGTGGGGGAGGGCTGTTCAGTATCTTTTCATGTATTTAGTTTTCTTTGCCCAGTGTTAATTCATTAGGTTTTAATTTTATTTTTTAATTTTGCTCTTTCTGAACTAATTATATTTTTCATTACTTGTTTTCTTTTTTAATTTTCATTATTTTCCTTTTATTTTTGTGGTTTTAAGTTACAATCTTATATATTGTTTGAACGCACCTTCTATATGACGTGTGCCGCTGTTATCAGGGAGTTGTTATTTCCTGTTATAAAAGCGTTGTTCAATAAAGTTCAAGTTCAAGGTAGCTGGTAGCTGTTTTATTGGAAATCGTGAACCGTATTATAATATTTTATTAAATTCGATTGTTCATGCGAGTCTGCAATGAAAAGCACACCTTAAATGTAGCGAATATTTATTTAGGTAATTAAGAATAGGGCCCTATCGTATACAGTAGCAATGACTGCCTCAATTAGCCATGTGAGGGCGCTATTGTAAGAAAGTTATAAATAGTGACGGGGAATTCCAAATTACGGCAACGGGAAATTCCCGCTTTCAAGATATCAAATTCTGGTTGTGGTTGCGAGCTGTTTTGCGATAAAATATCATTAAAATGGATGCAGAACATGGATTATGTTGGCGATGCCAGACTGAGAAGTCAACAATGCAATGTGATCGTTGTAAAATTGCTAAATATTGTGGAAAGCAGTGTTTAGAACGTGACGTACTACGACATAAGGTAGAATGCGACATGTGGAATAGAAACAAAGTGTGTTCCGTATGTGCTAAAATGCAAAACTGTCGTTCGGTAGGTTGACCTTCAATAGCATTGGTGACAAGAATAAGGTTGAAAAATAGCTGCAGGCCTAGGTCTATATCATTTGCAATAATAAACACAGGCCAAATATATATTTATATATAGTAGGCCCTACTACGTATATCAATACCGGTACTACTGTACCGTACACCACATAGACCTATTTTAATACACTATTAGATATGCTCTTCTTTTTCTATTTTGATTTTGCAGGGCAAAAACATTTTTCAATTTTTTTTCAATCATATAGTGGTGTAGAATAATCTTTTGAGGACATTTTCCAGAAAAAAAAAACTATTTGATGCGACCCTCCGTTATGGAATTTTTAGATAACATGAGGACAAGAATTTAGCCTCAAAGCTTATCTTATTTCTGTTGGTTACGCACCACTGACTTTGGTTGTTTGTCATCACTTCAAGTTCAAGATGTCTAGCTACCGATTCGTGATAAAGGATTAATGCTTTCTCTAGTTA